AAAGAAAGGAAAAGACCGTGATGTGTGGGAATCACATTATCATGGGCTTTACATGGGCTGTACTAAGCTTCCTTGACAGGCTTGGGAGCCACTTACTGGTTGGCAGGGCACATCTCCAGGTGGGTGATGGAGGTATGACCTTAGGGTGTCTGTCCTGTCCCTAGCGTCTTCTTGTCTTCCCAGCCATCCACCTTGCTCCACCTGCTCTGCACTGAGGCCCCTGCAGCCGTGCGTTAAATTGAACCCTTTAAGGATTGATTGATTGATTGATTGATTGATTGATTGCTCCGAATGCCTTCAGGGCAGGTTTGGCTGGCTGGAGTTGTGGGGATCGAATTACAGCAACCTGAGGCTGACAGCTTTGTGGAAGCAGCCACTTAAAGAAATGAGCTAGAGCCAGGCCCCTAAATTGAACCCTTTAAACTTTGGCTGTCCGGTGTTGTGTCCTCTCCAGGCACTGTTGGCAGTACATGCCGACAGTCCTAGCACTCAGGAGGCTGAGGCAGGAGGAGTGCTTTGTGCAAGGCCAGCCTGGGCTACAAAGTGAGTTAAGATCCAGCCTGAGCAATATAGTGAGACCATATCTCAAAAAAAAAAAAAAAAAAAAATTCTTGTTTACATGACAGGATATGAAAATGAGCAGCGTCTCCACAGTCCCGAATGTGTGCTGTTCATTTAGTTCTACTCCAGCCCTGACAAAGCACTGTCTTCCTCCGAGGCTCCAGGGTCCCGCAGGAAGTTTGATTGTGCTCCCAAAGCCAGAACTCTGGGAGCTCCAGGCCCTGCGTTCTACCCCACACTCTTGCCTGAGGCTGAGGACTCCTGCTCCCTCCATACAGGACTTCTTCAGGATAAAGCCACTGGTCCAGACCTGGGCTTGGGTGATCCGAGCGCTGGCCACACCCACAGACCCTGTGACCTCTGTCTCTGCATAAAGGCCAACTTGGTCTCATCTGAAAGTTAAATTTCATTTATAGTGCTCCTTTCATTTTCAGTTAGCTCTGAGGAGCCAACATGATGTGTTTAAATGTTTAGGGGTTCCCAAGGGTCTCAACCCAGCCTCTAAGCCAGTGATTTGCCCCAAGGCATCCTATAGAGTCCGTGTGGCTGCCTCAGGAGGGGACTCCCTTCCAGGACCTCTGAGTCCTTCACCCCAAAGGGCCAAGCAGTCTCCCCTACTCCTGGAGCTGGATGCCCAGAAGACTGATGCCACATGCCCCATGTGAACTTGCTCAAACAGACAGAACAGTGTACTGCAACCAAACACTTTAAAACACAAATTTATAGTCTCCCAGCTTCTGGCAGCCAGATATCTAAAATCAAGGTGTCTGTCGGGCCATGCACCCTGCTTTGGTCTAAATGTTGGTGTCTCCTCAATATGTGTATGTTAAAACTTAACATATTTGTACCAGGGCCATATGTGCACGACTGTCCCATGCTACCCAAGGGGACAGTCATGCATGCACCACTGATGGTTCTAGCCAGTGAGAACATGTTAAGTCCCAACTGAGTGATATTGTAAAAAGTGGCCTTTGGGAGGGGATTAGTGACCTTTTAGAAGAGGCTTGTGGGACACAGCAAGAAGATGCCATCGTGAGAAATGGGCCCTCGGGGAAGGAATCTGCTAGCGTCTTGACTCTGCACCATGAGAAATCAATTTATATTTCTCTAAATTATTTCAGTCTAAGGCATTTTGTTTTAGCAGTTGGAATGGAGGAACACACTTCCTCTGAAGCTTTTGGTGGAAGACTCCTTTCCTGCATATTCCCGGCTTCGGGTGGTGGCCGCCAGTCCGTGGTGCTCCTACTGCTCCGTGGCTCACAGCGTGGTGTCCCACAGCTGCCACAGAGGTCCTCCCCACATATCTGTGCTGATGTCCACAGCTCTCCCTTGTATAAAGACGTGATTCCTACTGGACTGAGAGCTCACTTTTATTTGGTTACACCTGCAAGGATCCTGTTTTCAAATAAGGCCACACAGTGCCAGGCTTGGGAATGCCTATCTTTTTCAGGGGTGACACAGTTCAACCCATAACCACATATTGAGCACGTGTCAACAGTGACTGGCATGAACCCACGTGCATGGTTCGCACATGCCCACTCCACGACACAGCAAAAACAACGTGCGCAGGCCAAGCCTGTGTCAAGGGTGCTGCGTGCAGGGGGACCATACAACCACGCACCTCTGCATTTGTCCTGCCTCAGCCTCCCAGAGTGCTGGGACTGTAAGTGTGCACCTCCGAGCCCAGCTCAGAGCTCACTTCTGAAAGGTTCGTTGCAGGACTAGGTGGTTGGGATAATGATCGTGTTTCAGGCTTCCTCGCTATTCTTCTAAATAATTAGTTCATGTTCTTCCTTGATGTGTACATCCTTCAAATATTTGTAGACAGTTATCAAGTCCCTTTGGTCACCCTTTAGCACACTCTGCATATTTGCTGTGGTGTGGGACGTGGGATATTATCGGGGTCATTACTGGATTATCATTTTCTCCTAGCGCATTTCATCACCCCTGGGCCACCTTCCTGACTGGGAAACTCCTCCAAGTTCGCTGTTGTTCCAGTGCCAGCTTCCCTGGGATAAGACATTAAAGTCGGTAGTGGTGACAAGGGATGGCTTTCAGGCGCTCTAGCCCCTTCTCCTCTGTAATTACCATCACTTTCCCCAAAGCCGCCTTTAAAAATCAGATGAGCTAGGTGAGAACAGTGTGCTTACTGTGCAGACAGCTTCAGACCCATCGTCCCCTGGGCCTCGCTCCCAAGCAGATAACCTTTGACTTCCTCAACTCTCAAATGAAGGTGAGTATCCCCGCTCTCAGCAACTTAGGGGTCTTTGGTTTGTTTGGTTTGGTTTGAGTTTGGGTTTTCTGTGAAAAGTTTATGTGTCTCAGATAGGCCTTGAATTCACAACCCTTTTGCCTCAGCCTCTCAAATGCTGAGATTACAGGTGTGGACTGCCACTCCTGGCTTAATCCAAGGTTCTTGGGAAGACTCAGTGAGGATAAGGAGTGAAAGGTGCTTTTTATAAATTGCAAAGTGGGACAGAGACCGGCAGTACTCACAATGCCAGGCTTCTGCACAACCTTCCAAGGGTCAGCTGTTCTAAAAAGCTAGGGTTTCTAAGTTAGAATTTATAACTAAACTCCATAGAGCTGAGACTCATCCTAAAATCTGTCTATTGAGAGAATATACTAATAGATTTTTAGTATTCCAAATAAATAAAACATAGAACTCAATGTTGTGTGGCCTCTGGGACACATTACGGATGGTTCTCAGGAGACCTTGGAAGGTTACACGACCATAAAAGATTTTTAAAAGTCCACCTTGTCCTCCTTTCCAGATCCCACTGAAGAGTTCCTCTGTACTCAAAAGACATATTTGCAGTCTGAGAAGAATGAATTTCAATGGTTCTGTTGAACATGCAATTCTCATGAAAGTATTTCTATAATTATCCTGTTTCAGTTATAATACAGTTCCTGGAACAATAGGACTTTTATTGTATTGCCGTATCTGTTATAATAGACGTTTTATTACAGAAAATTATGGTAGAGTCACCATTATGATTCTGGAGTTTTTATTTCAAATTATTCATAGGATGGAAATTCTATTTCCTAAGTAGTTTTATTTTAATGCTTCTTTGGAAAATATTTTTGGTGGATTTTCTTTACTTTTTTTTAACTTTGAGATTCTGCCCAATGACAGAATGTTGTATTTTGGGTCAATATAAATACCGCAAGGTCACCCACAGCATTTGTTTGCTACCCTGTAGCACATACAATTAAAAAAAATTCAGGTGAATGTTTCATATGTCTGTATAGTTTTATGATTGATGAAGAAATCCTTGCAACCTTTATAGTAAATGAAACTTCTAAAGCAAGAGGACAAGTTCGAGCCTAGCCTGGGTATTTTAGTGACTTAACTATCCTGTCTCAAAATTTAAAATAAATATAAAACAGGCTAGGGATGTCCCTCAGTGGAAAAGCCCTGGGTTGAAACCCAAGTTCCTTTTTTTGGCAGAACTGGGGATTGAACTCAGGCCCTTGCACTTGCCAGGCAAGCACTTACTCTACTGAGCTATCTCCCTGGCCCCTCAAACCCAAGTTCTGAAGAAAAAAATATATGTTTTTG